AAGTGAATTGCAAAGTATATTTATATGGCCAACATTCCTTTTAATACTATAACTCTCGATAGTTTTGCATGTATGGTCCAAGCAATTAGGCAATATGGCCCAGGACTTTTTCCTCCTTCACTACATGAGGCTAGGGAGCCTTTGTTAAAGGATGTTGTATTTGATGTCAATAAAATTTTGATTTCTCAAAGAGAAGGGTGGGAGAAATATGGGGCCACTATTATGTGTGATGGTTGGCCGATGGGAAGTCGAGGGTATTCATTAATTTTTTGACTGCCCAACAGGTACTTTTTTTGTTAAGTCTATTGATGCATCAGACAAGTCACATGATGCTACATACTTATGTGGCTTGATGGATGAGATTGTAGAGTTTGTTGGAGAGAAAAATGTGGTACAAATTGTCACTGACAATGATGCCAATTATGCTGAAGCTGAGCATTTCTTGACTTTGAAAAAGATGCATATGTTTTGGACTCCTTGCGCAACTCATTGTGTTAATTTTATGCTCAAGGAAATGGGTATAACATCTTTATTTAGTGGGGTGATTTCAAGAGCTATGTTTGTTGTTGGATTTATTTACAATCACACCATAGTCCTAAGCATGATGAGAGTTTTTACAAAGAAGAGAGAATTAGTGAGACCGGGTATCACTAGATTTGATTTGCCACGTCATTTCTCAATCTTCGAAGCCTATCCAAGCAAAAAAGTGCCTTAAGGACCATGTTTTCTTCAGAGCAATGGAGTCAAAGTAAATGGTCAAAGCACAAGGATGGGAGAAAGGCTGAAAAAATTATTCTGAATACATCTTTTTGGAGTCAAATAATTCTTGCATTGGAGGTGGCTCGCCCTTTAGTGAGAGTGCTTCAACTAGTTGATGGTGATGTGAAGCCCGCTATGGGTTACATACATGAGGCAATGAAAAGAGCAAGAGAAGAGATAAAAAATGTTTTAAAGGATGATGAAAATATGTGCAAGGCTATACTTGAAATTTTTTATAGAAGATCGGATTCCCAGCTTCACAGGCACCTTCATTCAGCTGGTTACTTTTTAAACCCATCTCTTCACTACAAGCACCCATCCATTGAGTCAGATTGTGTAATACATGGTAGGTTCTTAAATGTGCTTGAGAGATTGGTGCCTGACAAAGATATTCAGGATGAGATCTAGAGCCATGAATTGATTAAGTTCAAGTTAGCCTTGAGAAACTTTGGGAGAGATATTGCTACTCGAAATATGGACACTACAGAACCAGGTAAAGGCAAAAAGTACCCTTATTTGTCTATGAATTTATATACAGTCCATTGTTTATTCGCTCACCCTTAATTTTTATCTATATTATAATCTAAATTATAAAATATTATACAGCTGCATGGTGGGCATTATATGGAAGCAAGACACCAAATCTACAACATCTCGCTATTTGAGTGTTGAACCTCACATGTAGCTCATCTGGTTGCGAACGCAATTGGAGTGCATTTGAGCATGTAAGTCCTTAGCTCCTTATTCCTTAATCCTTATTTCTTGAATTTCAATTTTCATTTTCAATTTTCAATTTTCAATTTTCAATTTTCTAATATAAAATCTAATTTCAATTTTCTACTACAGCTCCATACAAAAAAAAAGAATAGGTTGTAGCAAACTAAGTTGAATAATTTGGTTTATGTGCAGTATAATAATGAGGGGCTTAGGGAGAGGTATCAACCATATTCAATTGTATGAAATTGATGGTGATTCCACAAGTGAGTGGACCATGGATCCAAGACTAGAGCGTGTGTTTGAGGGTGAGGATCTTACATAGCTTGATGTCTAGCTAACAACAGGGACTAACGAAGAAGATCGACCTAACACTAGAGCATAGAGGAGTAGAGGAGCAGCAAGGGCAGAGTCTAGTCGCACTCGCACATCAGCTCCAGGGTCGAGGAGGAGGAGGCTGACTCAGAGGAGACCAAGGAAGAAGAATACGTGAAGGCCGTCGAGGATGATAATGATGATGCACATGACGACTCTCAAGATGACTGCTCTGATTAATATTTGAAAAATTGACTTCAAAATTGTCTTGGATGATTGTATTAACTATTAACTCTTTTTGAGCTTGACTTCAAAACTCTTTAATCTTCAAGGAGACATGAACTTTTGGTTTGTAGTATCACTATTTTGTAACTTTAAAGTATGTGGTTGCAAATTTGTGCTTATGGTTGTTGATTGTTGAATGTTTTATGAAGCTAGTTTCAAGTTTCTAGTTTCTATTAGGGGATAGTGGATACAGAATCCGACAGCTAATATTTTTGGAGTTAATCATTAAACTAAAATACCTACTATCACATATATCACCTCCATATTTTTTCTATGTATTAACCTATTTTTGTAGATTTTTTAGATTTTTTTTTATATTTATTGACCGCATCGTCGCGATGCACCCGCATCCGGACCGCATCGAGCCGCATCGCTACATCGGCCCCCCAACGCTTTCGGGCCACATCCCGCATTTCAAAACACTGTTAGAAGCGAGAGAGGTTTTCAAATTTAGAACTGATTTGAGATCGATGGAGACATAGTAGGGTTTTGAGAGAGAGATTTTGAGATGTGAGGTTCATTTGAGATTGAGAGAGAGAGAGAGAGAGAGATAGAGAGAGAAGAGAGAGAAAGAGAGGGAGATTTTGAGATGTAAGGCTCATTTGATATTGACAGCGAGAGAGAGAGATTTTTCTGATATATTTATGTCAATGGTATATAACTGCGTAACTTTATGCGCTGGAGTACATTGTATTCAGCAGTAAGTACATTGTATGCAACTCAAGTTGAAATAACCAAGAATGTTGTCCTCCAACCATACTTACCGAAATCTCTCCACCGACCTCGCACTTCTGGTTCCAAAACCCAATCCCGCATTTTTGTTAAGAAATCTCCACGGAAACCGTTTTTCGGAACCAAGGAAACTCGATTCCTTAATTTCGGAATCTTGATTCGACACATCTTTAGAAAATTTTTTTCGGAACCAAGGAAACTCGATTCCTTAATTCGGAGTCTCGATTCAACACATCTTTAGAAACCATTTATCGGAACCAAGGAAACTTGATTCCTTAATTTCGAAATCTCGATCTAACACATCTTTGAAAACTTGAACCCATTAATTGTGGGTAGATGTTCCCAAATATATCGAATCTAGATTCTTACGAGGATTAAATCTTGATTCCATGTCAATTGGAGTAGAAATCTTCCTTCGAATGCTTCTAGCGGTTGCAGGGTTTCATTATTTTACTTGTGCTACCCTGGATGGCCTTTACTTTAAATTTAAAATATAATTGGTAAATACAATACATACATTAAAAGTAAAACCATGGTGTAGACATAATCTTATCTTGTCTTTATAATAACACAATTTAAGAATACTTGTCTTTTGTATATAATGACCATAAATTCAATAGTCAACACAATCACGTTAAAATTCGACAAACCTTCTAATAAGAGACATCCAACATAGGTTCTAAAGTTGATGAGGCTCAAGATGTGCTTGTGGCTTCCTTCTCCATAAAAATGAAATCTTGATTCCTAGTAGGATCGTCAACCGCATTCCATAGTCCATATTATTGCAATCTGGCATGGATCTCTGATTTATATACTTTAAAAACTTGATTCCAAATATGTTAGAATTCTGATTCGAAACAACAACATATCTATGTTCCACATATGTCAGAAACTCGATTCCATAGATGTCGAAAACTTGATTCCACATATTAAAGAATCTTGACTCCTGGAGTGTCGATTCCAGGGGAATGGTAATCTCGATTCCAAGGAGGACGGAATCTCGATTCCATAGGTGGATGAAACTTGGATCTATTTCGATCGAAACACGATTTTCAAAAACTAGGAATCTCGTTCCTGGCGATTCCTATTGTACGGACAACAATTCCTAAGACATGAATCTTCTAGCTGGCCGAGATTCCGCGATTCCGGTTCCTAAAACGATTCGGGTTCCCAAGTGTTTCCAACAACTATGCCTCAAACGTTCTTCCATTGAGGAGCATAAGTAATCCAATCATGTTGTTGCCATTCAGATAAACATTGTCTAGCACCATACCTTCTAAAATAGCCTCCCATTGAAGCAAAGAAAGAATCTCAACAGAATATTTTCCATACTAGAATATAGGCATAGAATTTCCCTCTGCTCATTCCTTGTACACTTAAGCATTCCTCATGTTTTACAGTACATGAAGGTTCAACAGGACTAAGGGATCTGATCTGTAGAAAAAGGAAGCTATTAAAGATAAATCTGAAACTAAAGCCATATCTTGAAAGCAGATCAGTGTAAGATGTATCAAACCTCTTCTAATGAGAAAACTTGATTTATACTTCCTCTTTCTAGCTAGAGAAACTTGGTATTACACTTCTGCTTCTTTTCTTGTTTTTCTTTCCTTTTTCTTTCTTTGTGAAGATTAATTCACTGAGTTTACACGAAGGCGTAATACAACAGACACACCGGTATTCTCATCTGGAGTAAGTCCTATGCATAAGATTGCACTGGAAAAAAATCATTGAATAGTTAAATCTTTCAAATTTTTCCAAATTTACTTTAGTGAAAGTTCGCAATCAAAAAGAACTATAACTTGAAATCATGAAGCCATATTATGAATTTCATATCGAAACTGCTGCAAATGAATAGAAACTACTAGGTATCTGAGTAGTTGTGTCATGTGTATAGGTGTGTGAAGGCGCATATCTGAGGCCAATTACAAGTTTACAATAAATAAATACAATAATAAGCTGTGGCATATCTACCTTGTGTCAATGAGCATGAATAATTTCAATATATAAAATGTGTGCCTATATATGGTGATATCAGTCAAATAAACGAGCAAGGGCATATCAAGAATCAGATGCCATGAATGATGGTATTTATGTATCCTGTTATGGTTATATGTTCACAAATCAGTGCGTGTAATCATCTATATCAGATTAAAATAATAAACACAATATCATCAATAATGGAAGCATTTACATACCATAAATATACGCTGGAGTTGTGATACTGTGCTGGCAAACTTGACATTTTTCTTGTTGTTAGTTTTTAACATCCTACAGTGTGGACAGTTCATGTAGATAGGTAAATTCATATCCAAAAGCGATAATCCTCCTCCTCCATCACCGATAGTAAAGCGTTGCAGATCACCTTCTAAATCAAATCCAGATCTGAGAAAATCTATTGTAAACCCACTAGAGGGTAGGTTTACTCCTTTTCCAGTCTTTGCAATTATTTCATTCTGTTTATTCTTTGATGCAAGCTTTCTTCCGACATATGTAGACATTACTTTTGTTGGCAACTGGTCGCTGTCCTTTTCACCCATCTTGGTCTGCTTCAGCATTTGTTCATCAGGTGTCTGAGATTTCCCAGGAAATTCATATGGACCACCAAATTCTTTAAGATGCTCTAGAGAGATAAGAAACCGATGCCCATAAGAGCACTCATGCTCAAACCCAACATACACAACGACCTTATTCACAGTAGGAACGAATTTCATGAGTTGCGCAGTTTGATTGCCATTCATGATAACTGGCACCACATTGCTTCCAATCTGTAAAACTGGGCTCCCCCCTGATTGCCCAAGAGCTCCTAAACTATGAGAACTTTCTTGGACCGAAGAGACATCTTCAGATTTGAGGGAGCTTTTGTTCTCATCCAATGCACTGGCCCCATTTTCTTTTCTCTCTCTCGAGACCTTCTGTTTTGTACCCCTTCCTGAACCCACTGTAGATTGCTTTTTCTGCTGAAGAGGGGGGAATGCCAAATCAGAATCAACCGATCCAACAACAACCTCAGAAAATGGCTTCTTTGTTTTTGGAAGAGGGAGATCCTTACCAAACTGGATCTTCGAGCCATCTTGGGGCACATTGTCCAAGAATTCCCTTTCATGAAGGCCTTGTCCACCATGAGTGGCTGAACGAAGTTTCCCTGGAATTTCTTCAGGTGTAAGCAAGGCCTTGGAATTTGGAGCCCATTCGGGCTTTAAAGCTCCATTTTGATGCTGATATGAAATCACAAACTTTGGGAGGAACTTCCCAGTAGAGCAAAAGCCACTTTGAAGCAAGCCCTTCGTTGCCTCATAATATTTGGCACCTCCTACTCGAACCAAACTCCATGCTGAAGCACGTAAAGGACCCGGCCTACCAGTTTTTGGCAATACAAGTGACGGGAGGAGATTTTCACAATTGGGAAAACGGTTAAAAGTAACATTGGCACTTTCAAAATCAAAAGGATCCTCTCGGAGCCTCCTCGAGCGACCACAAGCACAGGCATGAATAAACACATACCCACTTGAATGAGGCTTTACAGGAGCTTCTTTGAGCTCATCAACCTCACCGTAACTCTGACACGTGCCTGCCAAATCCGAGATTTCCAGTCTGTGCCTTTGGTGCACACATGGTTTCCCTGTTAAACTTATGGCATCGCAGAGTTGCCTCCCTGATTTCCAAATAGCCACACACTCTTCCCTGAGTTTATCTGTAAAGCTCGGAACTGCCAACCCCCGCACCATCAGGCGAAAAGAACAAACTGCTTTTTCCATATGAGTTTCATGCAAATCAGTAGGATAACAAGGAGGCAAACCATTCAAGTAGACCTCCTTAGCCATTGGAAGGGCACTTTGACACCATTGGGTTGAGAACTTTTCATCCAAGCCCATGCCACTCTCAAGGCATGATAAGGCAGCTGCAATAGCATCTTTTCCCTTTGATTCAACAGCCCCACCTTTTGCTCCATGAGGCCATTTATCTTGATCATTTCCCACTATCTCAGAAGCTACCTTTTCTTCTTCAGGCCTTGTTCTCGCTGAAATCAATGTCTCTAGGAGAAGACGACTGGCTGATAACCAATTCTCAAGGCTTGGGAGCTCAGGAGGGTTTCCAACATTCTTATTATGAGCTCCCCCAGCTACTGAAGCAGAAGCAGCAGCTGCTGCAGCTGCTGCAACAGCCACCATTCCCACACCTGCATTAGACCCACTACTTGTGTTTGAACCCAAACCTCCCCTACCCCTTAGAATATCAGATTGCCGATAGACAAACTCTTTTATTGACTGTATGTCCTCTTTATTTGAGCTCTGGCTATGGTTCTCAAGAAAGAAGATATCAGATGCTACTTTCCCATGCAACACCTCTTCGATGAGTCCTGTTACAAAGTTAAGGGACTCTCCTTTGAGGTTGGCTGATCGGTCTAATAGAGCGACAGCCTTCGAGCCATCCAGACAAAACAAAGTACCCCCCATTCCAGCTCCTCCCAATAAGGACATCCCACTTCTTGAACCGGAGAGGCTTGTGCCTTCACCTCCTGCTATGGTGCGAGACTTTTTTATCAAGAATCGGAGCTGACCCTCAAGAGAAGACTGCAATTTCTTTCTAAAACCACCTTCAGTTTTGCTAGAAGGTCGAGATAGCATCACCACTGGGTTGGATGACGCTTTTGAAGAAGAGGAACCAGGCCTGGGTATGCTGATTGTACCAGAGGACAAAGGCACCCCAGAAGCTCCAAGATTTGCACCAGCTATGGCAGGAGATAGAGAGGCATCCAGTGAATCCTCAGAGTGAAGACCAGAATTTGGAGAATCCGCAAAATCATCTAGGAAAACAAAGAGAATGACTGGTGTGCATTGGCCTGGGAAGAGAGAATGGTATGAACCAGACATGAGAGAGATGGATGAAGAATGGCGACCCAACATTCCTCCTCTTCCAGGAGATTGGTTCGAAGAGTTAGGGGCTGCTTTAGCAGAGAAGTGAGAAGATTTGGAAGACATCATGGTAGGTGTGATATGGATTTTCACAAAGGGGGCCAGGGCATTCTTTGCAGATTGAAGCATTCTGAAGGTTCTCAAGATTCGAGTATCGAATCTTGCCCCTTCATTAACAAACATGATCACATGACAGACCTGAAATGATTCATAGAAATTAATTGAAGTCATGGAAATGGGTTGAGACCCACAAATTCTCCAATACAAATGCTTATTTCAAGCTAACATGGATTCACCGTTGCAGCCATGGAAGTGAGGAAAGACTCCTGTACAGACCGGTGGACTTAAAAACAAAAAGAGACTTACACCAAAAATAATAGCATGGCACATATGAACTGATTCATAGCAAATCACTTGCAGCCATGGGAGTGAGCTGTTCTCTGCTAATAATAATTAAAAGAAGCTTAAACGTAGCCAACATTGATTCATAACAAATTAGTTGCAGTCACTGAAGTGGGTACGCACTCTTACTCATACAACATGAAATCAGAAACCGAGATCATTTCACCACCAAACAGCGAGAAAAACAAATTAAAACTGCAACAAAAGGACATAATAAGCAATCAACATGAATGGGCAACTCACAGAGAACATGACGAGCAGTCCACGCAGATCGCCAGCATCATGCCCCTCCATTAAAGAAGGTAAATGAACTCCCCCTGGAGAATTCTCAACAAGAAGAGACCCAAAAGAAGAAACAAACAGCAAAAACACAATCCCCTTTTCATCATCGTAGAAGTAGCTGATCCTTCTTGTTCTGAACCACTCAGAAGCCATGCTCCCCGACTCTGAAGAACCAGAAAAAGAAAAAGACTCATCTCCTGTAAATTCACGAGCACTGGTTTCCTCAGATTTGGGACAGAGGTTATGGTCTTGATGACCAGACCCAAACACATTGGCATCGAGGAGACGATTGAGAAGTTGCGAAGTTTGGTCGAATTCTCGGCCCACAACACCGACAACCACGACCCCATCTCGAGAAGAGGGAGAGAGAGAAATGGAAGGTGGGGGTTGAAGAGAAGAAGGAGATGGTGAAGAAGCAGAGGGGGAGGAAGAGGGTCTGGTGAGAACGCGCATTGGAGAAGGATTAGATGGGCGCTCCCGCTCCATGAGAGGAGATGGGTGTGGTCAAATTAAGCAGAGGATATGGAAGTAGAACCCATGAAGAAGAGCTCCATGAACCAGGGCGTCTAGCAGTGACAGGTCAAGGAGAACAAAATGGGTGTGCTTTCCTGCCATTGTTTCATATTTGGAGAGTCTAAGAGAGAATTCGGTGGAGAGGGATAAAAGAAAGTGGCGCGGATATGTTGCACTGCCAGACCAATATCTAAACCATCAAGTTCTGATATTCATCTCGATGTGAAAAAAATAAAAAGATTTCAACTTTTAGGAATATATTAATTTTTAATTTGTAATTATTTATTGATGGGTTTGATCTACAATATTATTTAAGCCTTAAATTTTATAATTAGAAAAGAAAATAAAATTTTCAGGTCATTACAAAGTTTTTTATTGCTAAAAAATCATCTTTGACACTATTTAGATGTATGTTTTATTTTGATTATTTAGAGCCTCCACCTTGTACAAACATCTGTTATGAAATGTAATAATATAAGGGCTTTGCAATATCAATCACAATTTTATTTCTATGTATTTCATTCGGTGAGGTTTACTGAAGGTTGCAACCTTAAACAATCAAAGTAAAACACGCTTCCAAACTTTGTCGTAAGATGCAATTTTGGTGTTGGAATCTTTAAGAGGGCGCGAGAATCTACGTTCATCTCTAATTAAGAAATTTTAAGCTCTAAAAATGATTCAAATTATGCAAATCTATAAAGGCATGGAAATCCTGAAAATAGACTGTCCAAAATGCGTTGCAAGATATATTATTTTTGGGACTTGAAATTTATTTTTATTCCTTATCCGTACATCTTGATGTGGAGATAATCAATTAGATGGTTTTTCAACATCAAAATGGCCTTTTTCTATGGGTTTTGATATGCACCTTAATTCTACAATTTAAGGTGTCAACCTTATAAATTTTTTTTTCCTATTCTGTTTACTATAAAGGTTCCATATAATTCATTAGGGAGATGTTTCCAATAAATACATTTTTTTTTTTTTTAATGTTGACATTTTACTAACTTCCAAGAAAAAGTACAAAAGGATAAAAAAAATTAGATACCTAACAAGGATGCAAAGTTAGTGATCACCAACGAATCGTAATGAACACGACTTTTAGCAAGGGAATCAGCCTCAGTGTTGGACTCCTTGAAAGTCTAGCACAACATAACAAATTGAGACGCAAAAAATTCTCTAATCTCTATGAAAAATGATGTTAACCTCCAAAGGAACCTAGATTCCCCATTTCCCCAAGCCACAATATTCGCAAAATCTCCCTCAATAATTTTACCATATTTAATTTTTCTTAATAACTTGAGCTCTTCTAACAAATCCCCTAGCTTCTGCCTCATTAACAGTAGTTATACCACAAAGCCCGGAGTAACACATAAGAATCAGTCTATCGTGGTTAATAATGAAGCCTCCAAATCCTATAGGCCCCAGATTTCTGAAAGAGCTACCATCAAAGTAGAGTTTAACACTGCTTATGGGTGCATAAGACCAAGGTAAGATATGCCTCAACCTCGAGAAATGTAACTACGCTACCTCCATGGGATTCATAATAATCTTGCCCCTTGGAATGAATTTACAGTACTTGCTTACTTATATCCAATCTGCATCTATTCGTATAATATTAGACTTCAAGAATGACAAGTCAGTAGCCTTATCTTCGAAGATTCTCCTATTACGTTGCCTCCAAGCATTCCATATATTGCTCACCCATAATGATCTCCAAATAATACAAGCCATTTTGGAAATTCCTAGTGAAATCCATAGTTACAATGCCATTTTCATATATATCGGTGCCTGAATATGAAGATTAAGCATCTGCCTTCCCCAATTCCATAACCCCAAAATACATGGACATTGGAGAAGAAGGTGCTCAACAGTTTCTTTCTCAAATGTACAATATGCAAACATTGGTTGGAACAAAACCTTTTTTTTAGAGATTATCAATTGTGGCAAACTTGCTCTGGGAGGCAATCCACAAAAAGTATTTGCATCTTTGAAAGGACTTGTAATTTTCAAATCTTGGCTAACGCTTCTTCCAATATTCTGCTACGATCATGATATAGCAAAGTATAAACAGACTTCACAGTAAAATCACTCGATGTGGTTAAATCCCAAATATTGTAGTCTTCCATAGAATGAGAATAATGAAACTGTTCTAACATAAACATGCAATTTTGAAGTTCTTCAATAAACCTATTATTCATCCTTCTATATCTACAAGGGATATACCATGCCCTGTTATAACCATTTTCCCCTTTTATCTCTTTGACTGTGCCTATTGGATTAAAAACCTTTGAGAAGACCTCATGGAAATGGCAATGCAAAGGAAAATCTCACAACCATTTATCATATCAAAATAATGTATTTTCACCATTTCCCACCATCTTATGATATTGTTGAAGGTAAATAGGCCTGCAATAACCAATCATTTTACAAACAGTAAACGAAAGACAACCTATTCCTTAGGCTTTGACTAAGTCATTCGTCATATCAACACCATAATTTTCTTTAAGGACAGCACACCATAAAGATTGGTTATTTTTATGACATCTCCCTACCATTTTGTGAGAATGTCGATGTTCATGATTTTAAGTTACCTAATCCCTAAGCCTCCGTCTGTGATAATTGCATAACATTGATCCTATTTAACAAGATGCAGCTTCCTTCAATTGTCAAAGCGTCCCCACAAGAATGCTCTCATGATGCCTTCCAACTTTCTGACTACCTGTTCAAGCATGTAAAACAAGTACATATAGTAAACATGTATATTAGAGAGGGTGGATTTAATTAATGCCACTCACCCCTCAGAGAAAGACATTTAGACTTCCAAAAGTCTAATTTCTTATTAAATCTTTCAACAATATGATCCCAAATAGAGTGAGGAGGATGACCATCCGTTATAGGAATTCCCAAACATTTACAAGGCAAACTCTCCATACTACAACCTAAGACCCTCACCAAATATTTTACTAAGGTTTCTGCATACCATACTCTAATAAAAAAAGGTCTTTCATAGATTAACTTTAAGACCCGTGATCAGCTCCATGTATTTCAGAAAAATTCTACGATTTTTTATTTTCCCTCTTCAGGATTACAGAAAATGATTGTATCATTAGCATATTGCAAATGAGACACCATTAAGCCATTTTTACCAATATGAAATCCAAATATCATACCTTAGTCCACCATAGACCTAAGTATAACACAGAAGCTTTCAACTACAATAGTGTAAAGAAAAGGCAAAAACGAGTCTCCTTGCCTCAATCCTCTTGAAGCTCTAAACAAATACGCTTTCCCATTAAATAAAATCAAGAAATGTGTGGTAGAAAGACAACCTAAATCCATAATCTCCATCTTGACTGAAAGCCCATTCTGCTCATAATCTTATATTATACCTACCGATCAATTTTATTATAGGCTTTCTCAAAAGCCAATTTGCAAATGAGACCTAGATTGCGTTCTTTAGATCTAGAATGTATGCATTCTTGTGCAACCATGATACTATCCATAATGTGCATAACTTTAATGAATATCGATTGAGGGCCTTCTATAACCATATAGGGGTCATTTGGATACCTGGAAATATGTTGTCTGTGAAATATACTACTGGATACATAACCTGCAAATGGATTGTTACTGTTTGGGTAGTATTTAGATGCAACCTGGGAAATACATTGCTATTGTTTGGCTATGTCTGGAAGAAATATGGGAAATGCATTACCAAAATTTTATCAGCAGTTTCCTATAAACTATCATTTCTTTTTTTTGTCATAAAATTTCGCTGAAATATGGAATTAAAGTATCATCACACCATTCCAAACGGATTTCTAGTGATAACATCATCACCATTCTAGAGAGAAATAGAGAAATAAAGGTATTAATATTAACCATTTTAAAGATAGAGAGAGTGCAAAGTATTGATCTTCATCATCATAATTTTAAAGAGAGAATGAGAACATAAAATAAAATTATCATTGTTCCAACAAGATTTACTAATATTATCATAGATAGAGAAACTGATAGAGATGTTTGTCATCATCCATCAAAAAAGAGAGATGTGTGTTAGAGAGTAAATATAGCAATTCGATAACAAAAATTCTCAAGTCCAAAAACCATCTCGATCAAATAAAAAGAGAGAGAAACCCAAATAAAAAAAGTGGATTTTACTCCACTTTACATGTCACACCACCTTCTTGGAAATACTTCGAATTAATCCAATACATCCGATCTTCTTCAGCCATTGCTAAGAATCCCTCACTAATATTTGCGTCTGATATCATTTCATTAGATGCTCACATGAAGACGGGTCGAGCATGGCCGTTGACATGTTGAAGAGCTTTGTAGACTTCTCCTTTATGTGGATTTGCGGCTGGTTTCCTCAACTCTACAAATTGCAACACCAATTTCTTTCACGGTTATACCTATTAACTCCACAGTATCAACCTTGGTTTTCTTTTTCTTCCTTGATGGCATAGCCGATGTTGATTTTTCTAATGGATTGGTGGTCATTCCATTTGTCCTTGATTGGACTGGTGTCTTTGGGAAGTCCTCATGATCACCTAGTTCCTCAACATCATCATCATTATCTAAGCTCACAATTGTCTCTCGAACATCCTCAACATCATCATCAATATCCTTCTCTAGTTGTATTGTGTCCTGACACCAACACCCTCCACAAAATCTTTGCCGACAATTAGGCTCAGCTCATTCCAGTATTCAAAGGACTTCCCTTTAAAGTTCTTTGCAAGCATATTAGATGGCACGATTAATACAATATGCATTAACTTAAATAACTAATTTACATTTTTTAAAATAATAAAAAACTAGATAAATGAGAAACATACACATACCATTATATAGTCTTCTCATAAAGAATCATCGATAATGGTCTTATGTGATTCTTCATTCCATCCAAAGCCACTTTGATCCTTCATTTTTTTGATAGTCTTCTAGTTCTTTGACATTGTTCTAAGTTTATTCTTAAAAACTTCTCTTCTCAAATTCATTCCAAGTTTGGCATTGAACTTCTATTCAATTGCACCCCATTGCTCATTCTTAAAAGCTGATTTGGGCTTCTTAATGAGCAAGCATTGCTCAACAAGTAGTTCCAACAAAATCGTCTCCATTTTTTAAATCCACTTAAGTTTCCTCCCATACTTGGGATTTGACTGAGTCATTGGAATTTCATTCGCCATGTCTAACATGAATTATCAAATATCACTATCACATCCGTTATTAAAAAAACATTTACATGGAATGCATTCATCTAATATAGCAATGTAAAATACAATTACAAAGCTAAGTTATACATGACCAAAAAAGAAATTTGCATAGATTTAAAAGGGTCATAATGTCTAACAAAAAAATATGAAGTAAAATCAGGTCATACATCCACAAAAGTTTTTCTCATGAATTCATGTCAATTACAAAAAATAAATAAATTATGAGCTTCAATTAAGATGACCCCTATAATCTGCCCACTTCTGCATCGTAAAGTCATCTCTAAACTCGAACCACTCATCTCTCTCCATTTGACTCCTCCCAAATACTTCAGACTCTAGAACTTCTACTAACGATGTCTGGTTTTGATAAGATATTACATCTTCATAATCATGAAGGTCACCGTCTTCACTTGTAATGAAATTTTGTAAAATACAACATGCAACCACTATCTTGACTTGTGTTTTGATTGGATAAGTAGTAGCCATTTTCAAAATAGGGAAACGTACTTTCAAAACTCCAAAAGCACATTCAATGGCATTTCTGAGCGAGTAATGTCGTTTATTAAATAACTCCTTGTAGTTCTGTGGTCTTTCTCTATCATGACCATAGTCATTCAAATGGTAACGAGTCCTATGATAAGGGGCGATAAATCCTTGGATACTAGGATACCCGAGATCTACAGTGTAGTATTTTCCTACAAAATGAATATTTGATTGAGATTAAAATCAATTGGTAATATATTGTTATGTGAAGAAATATAGTATCAAAGATAGAGTCGAAATACCATTGGGAACTACAAGAGGATCATCACAGGAGAGTGATGATTGCAAAACATGGGAATCAGCAGCAGAACCCTCCCATCCAGCAAGAATATATTGGAATTGAAGGTTAAATGAGCAAACACCCATCACATTTTGTGATATAAAACCCTTTCTATTATGATTTTTTTTTTCGAGAGTAGTCCGAACAGTTGCCGGGATATGAGTGCCATTAATGGCTCCAACACAAACTTATTATTGAGAAGCAATTAAAATATTGCTGAATACCACATTAATCAAATAAACACAATAAGTATAACAATATGCATTATCTTAAAAGAAGGAAACAACGTCCCCTTCTTACCAGCAACTCTGATGGTTTGAAGAATTCTCTGTGAAGTCCTATGACTGCATTTAACACTCGGTTAAAGTGTCGACTTACAGTTTCTCTTGAGTGACCAAACTCATGACCAATCTTTTAGTTCTTTAGGTTGTGGCTTAGAATGTACATGAACATCACAAGTTGTTTATCAAATGAAATCCCCATTATATCAGTGATATTTCCTCTCTTTAAAAGAATATTCCTCAAGATAAAGTAAGCTCTTTTACTCATTCTAATCTGGTTTCGACAATCCACGTCAGTGGAGTTAATTATCATTTTATGGTACTTTGTACCAATTGAATTACGCTTTGGTGCAGATGATTTATACACATAGGTCCCTAGAATATTACCTAATATAGCTAGAGTACTACCAACTGCAACAAGTGATCCAGCTATTTTCATCTTTACTTCATACTTGAGGTTTCGATTGTTACTCAACATGAGATAGTTGAGTATCGCTGCAGGGCACATTGTTAGTGAGAATATGCTATTGCTATGTACTCAATCTTGGGCAGCTGATATTCTATAATGTATAAAAATATCACAATCGAATAAATCTTTGACACCTAACATATAGTTAAACCAAAACAAGTACCGCATACTTGTCCCTACCTCATCATGATCATTGACGAAGTATGCATCTGCAAATTCAATGTCCAAATATACATCTCAAAGCCCACACGACAAACTGTGAGTATTTCAAATGTGATTGAATAGTTCATAATGGCTCCATATCACGTGTTATGCCATATCATAACGTAATTCTGAGATTGATCATATATGACTTACTAAATGAGTTTCTTTCATCTACTGAATTCAGGCTTCTGTTGGGAAATAACCAGAAAGAGAGGCTATACAGAATTCTTTCATCTACTGAATTCAGGCTTTCATCTAAAATAAATTATTGTTTCCTCTCTTTCAAAGCCTATATTGCATCCATGGTAACCTATGAAAATCTAGACAAATACAAAAAACTATATAGATAGAATATACAAATTTGACTAATTACCGAATGAACATGGTTGCAGAATATAAGTTATAGACTTGAGAGCAAACAAAAGATGCATACTACTGAGTTTGAGACCAACCAACTAAAGCTATGAAATCAATAGCTCTCTAGAGCAAAATGGTGGTATAAAACAATGAATCACTTATAATAGATATGAAATCTTTTGGGAAATGGGTATTTGAGAAGGTACAAAGACATGATTTAGTGGTGAAAGGAAACCTGTAAATTGACCTATACTGAATCAACGCGGAGTAGGATAGAATGATTTGCATGTATGTTTTGAAATACGAAGGAATGAGAGAGGGAGAAGAGGAGGAGGAGAGAGAAAGAGAGAGACGTAGAGAGAGCCCTAAAACAGAGCGAGAAGCCTAAAAAATGGTAGATCCAAGATAGGGTTGGTTTTCTTGGAGATACACAGTAAAAAAAAAAAATCCAATGGTTTCATGGTGATAATAATGTAAAACAATTGACTTCTACCATGTCAAGAAAGTAAAGGCAGAGGAAATGTTACCTGGTTGCAGAGCAAGTGAGGAGGTTATTTCTCTCCAGAGAGAGAGAGAGTTGCAAGAGAGAGAGGGTAGGCTTCCTGCATTTTTAAAGAGAGAAGGCAGATGAAAGTTTTGCAGGGAGAGGTGCGCGAAAGAGAGATGCACGGGAAAGATTTCCTAAGATTACCCGTCAAGCGCGTAATAGAATTTTCACCATTCACCATGCATAATAGATTTCTTGATTTTTGGAGAAATCTCAGGTAATTTTTTTCCATTTCCTTACCATTAAAGTGTACCCAAACAATGACATGTCATATTTCCGTGTAATCTATTTTCATGTAATAGATTTCCAGGTTCCCAAACGGCCCCATAAAGCATTTGTCATAGCTTGTTGGCTATCACTTTTGCTATTATTTTGTATAAACTACCCAAAAATTAACGGGTTTGATATCTTTAATTTGTTCAATCACTGTTTTCTGAGGAATAAGATCAATTAAGTTAGAGTTCATTGTCAGATTGATATTTCATCTATCATTAAATTCCTCCAATAGTACGAACAAATCTTCCTTTGGAAGATCCTAGAAGTCTGAAAAAATGCCAAAGTCCCGATGCTTTATCTCTAAGCTGACCGAAGACTGCATCCTTTATTTCCTGCATCTCAAATCTTCTTTCCAACCATATAGCAGTCTCCTCTAGTAGCTTAGCAAAAGGAACGAAGTCAATGGGGAGATTGAACAAGTTCTCAACAGTAAAGGTTGTAGAAAAATGTTCAATGAGGCTTTTTCGACCTCATTAATATCATTACAGTCAACTTCTTCAATTTTCAGATTTTGAATAGTATTCGACCTCCTCCTAGCATTGGTTATAGCATAGAAAAATTTTGTATTCCAGTCACCCTCTTTCAAGTATTTGACTTTAGATCTTTATCTCCAATGAATTTCTTCTAGTCTCAAAAGGTCATGTAACGATGTTATTGCTCCAATGAATTTATCGATACACTTTTCTCTCTTATTGCTCAGCTGTCAAATTCCACCCAGGAATTGAATTCCATCAAATTCTTCAATTTGCAACCTCGTATCACAAATTATATGTTGCAACACCCCCCAATCCTCCTTTTTCCAAATAAGAATTTTTACTTTCAACAGTTTGAGTTTAGTTGACATCTGATAACCTTTCCAGCCCTCAACCATAGGGTTATGCTAGAAGTTTTCAATCAATTCGCATAGCGAAAGATCCGATAGCCAGCAAATGTCAAAATGAAAATGTGTTGGACCATAAGAAGTACCATCGAAAATAAAAGGAGAAGAATATGGTCAAAAGATATTGAGAAGAGTTTTAACTTATCATTTTGGTAAGAATTAACAAAAGCCTGGGAGACCAAAAAATCTATCCAAATTAGTGAGAACTGGATCAAAGACAGAATGATTAGACCAAGTATAAATGGAGCTTGAGGAGCGTAAGTCAATAAACTCATGCTGTTGAATAAAACCTTCGAATCAACACTTGAATAGAGAAAGATTAGGGGAGGAATAAGACTCGCTAGGCCGCCTAATAATATTAAACACCCCCACTTGCACCATGAAACTTTAAACCGAGAACATAATCTAGATAATTAATCATAAAAAGAAGCTTTACCCCCAGTAGAATTTGGTCCATACCCATTAGTTAATAGGGAATGTTTCTATGTGACCCCACCCACATAGAAAAAAATGATTGCTATTTTTTTGCCATTGGATCTAAAGAATGGCTCGGATAACACCAATCAAAATATCACAGATTTGGAAACAAACTTGAGAACCGACTCTCACCTTTTGGCCTTCCCTTACACATCCCGCCTATCTTGTGTGCTATTATCTCTCAGTCCCTCTGTCTCACATCATACTCTCTCTCTCTAAAATGTGGCTTTTATATATTTCAAAAGACATCTTCTCAGCCATTTAGATTCCAAAATATCATGGATTTGATGTTCAAAAATCTATTGCTTTACCCAAAGTCGTGAACTTAATGCTTAGCTCAAAATTACCAACTTTACAATCCCAGGCGCAGAGAGAGAGAGAGAGAGATCCACTTTTCAATCAAAGGCAGAGAGAGAGAGAGATTACTTCTTTTTCTACAAAAATCAAACTAGAAAAAATTACTGAATCTAATAGTAAGCAGAAAAGATTACAAATTCTAAGGGCGTGTTTGATAACAGGAAGTGTCTTCTTGGAAGTTTAGAACTTCTTAATATTGTTCAAGTTTCGTGTTTGATAAAAAAATTGAACTTCAAACAAAACTTCAAGGAACTGTTCAAGTTCCAGTCTTGCTTTAAAAAAAACATTCAAACCCAAGGGTTGGAACTTAAACTTGAAACTTTTTTTTTATGAACACCCCCGCCCCCCCCATATATAAAATGTATATATTTTATTGTATAATATACAATATAT